CCAAATGAGTTGCTGTTTGTCAGTTAACTTCTTACATCAACTACTTTCTTTCACTTTCGTTTTAGTTACTGCGTGTTGATGTCAGTCGAAGACTTGGCTCTGGACTAGAAGATGCGGATGCTATAAAACGTCATCCATTTTTCCGCAACACTAGCTGGGAGCAAGTGTATGCTCGCCAAGTTGAGCCGCCTTTTAAGCCAACTCTTATTTCTGACACTGATGTTTCTCTCTTTGATACAAAGTTTACATCTGAGAGTCCCGTCGAAAGTCCTGATGATGGCGTACCAATTTCGGCAGCAGATTCGGATGTATTTGAGGGATTCACTTATGTCGATCCGCAAGTTCATATCGCCATGGCACGTGACTTGTTCGCCAGTGATAGGCCACGCCGAAGATCAGGGGCATCTATCAGCAGGTCGGGTTATCTAAGTTTTTTGCGGCATTTATTAGTGCCTTGCTAATTCAGCTTATTCGACATCCCTACTTGTTATTTTTACAATTGCTCTATTTTTGACCTGTATATTTAGGTACTTATTTGTTCTCACCTATAATTCCTTACTGACCTTTTTTTCTAATTCCTCTATTTCCAATGTGTAATGGTTTATTTCAAGGTAAACTGATCTATTAGATGCGTTAATCTCGCATATAAATATAAAAACTAGGATCCTAATTAATTATTTTATTACTATAGTCTCAATTTGAAGGGTAATTTAGAAATAAATATTGCCTAATTGATGCCGCCATAGATATGCTCGTTTCTATAATTTTAGGCTATTAAAGCAATCTGGTATGTCATTAAAGTCGAATCAGAGTGAAGACATCCTTATGCATGCTTTAAACCATGAGACTGTTACTCTGCGACGATGTTAGATGCTGACTCTCAAACTATTTTATTGTGAGAGCATAATACAAATCCAGTAAGCGAAAAGCCATATAAACATGTATAATATTTATTAATCAAAAAGACCTATCAAAAGGAAACCGAAGAAGAATTTCCTTGGGGGGATGAGCAAATTTGAAAAAATACATCCTCGGCTCACCGTTCCAAGACCCATATGTTTTTTTGATCCTGTAATGTTGAGGCATGTAATTGAACGCGTTATGTACATTAAATGCTTATTTTTTATTTGCATGTATAATCTCCATAATTGGCTAAGCGTATAACCCTGGGCCAGTCTATTTGATGTCGACCAGTTTGATTTTCAGACTCGAAAATTTCACGGATCGCGAAGAGTGCTTGCCACATGCAACAATGGGGGAACTGGAGTAATAACAAACTATCTCACTTATCCTAAC